TTGGAAAGAATATGAAGATATCGTTGCGTTAATCTTAACAAGCTCTTAGTGACCCCTTGATCCTTAAATCGTGGATCATGATCCTGCCTGATCAATAATAATAATAATTATAATATTAATAATAATAATAATAATAATAATAATAATAATAATAATAATAATAATCAGGCTAGCTAGGTTTTACACAGGTGCGTTACATTATTAATTGATCAGGGTGCACTCGATCTTCATTTTCAGCTCCTTGGGGAGTATACAACCAAAGCTCCCTGTGAGGCCATAGGTAAACAGTCTTATTACATTTTATCCTTCCGGGTACCCATTCACTGCCGGGTGAACATAGGCGTGTTTAACTTGCCTACGGAAACACCAAATGTGGCACATGTGCTTCAATGTGGGGCAGGACCGATCGAAACCATAGAAACTCTCAGTTGTCAAACTTGCTGATTACGATCACCCATGCAACTACTCTCCGCCACTAGCGTTGCTTAACGTCGCCAGATGTGTGACCCGAGTGCTGTACACAGTACCACGTAACACTTGGTTTGACAATACAACGTCTTTGCTTCTTCAACGTGGTAAGAACCTACGCCCGTTTCAAGGTCACGGGATATTGTCCCATAATCGATTAAGCTTCTTGGTTTGACAATTCAACGCCAATGTTTGCGAATTTTATTAACGTTAGAAAGATGAATCATTATTGGTTTCCATGAAAATTTATAATAAAACATTGTGAAGCAGTTGAAATGCTGTTAAAAGCGGCGTTAAAAGTCACCTCGAAATGATCGGTCGGTCTTTAGTATGGCACCTATCATTACCGGCGATCGATATTACAGTAAGATTTATACCTTTATCAGCAGCTTGCAAACAAAGGCGGCCGACGCCACTCCTGACCCGTACTTGAAATCAATGATTATAGGCAACAAACCTCTCCAATATCTCAGAGAACGACTAATAACGCCCGGAGCTTTGAGATTTTCCTATCTTCGCTGAAAAGTGGACACACGTTGCATAATGATGGTTATGTAGTGCTTGGGAGCTTTCGCATAAGATCACTTAACACAAATACCTATGTCTTGCGAGCCTTCCGCATATGTTGGTCTCAAAATATCCCACACCAACAGCCGTCGCTGATCCCACACTTATATCGCCTTATGTCTATAGTCAGTGTGGTAGTCGTGGTATTATCAGTCGTAGTAGTTGTTGTTGGAATCGTAGTTGTAGAAATAGACGTAGTAGTTGTAGTAGCAGTAGTAGTAGTTGTTGTAGAAGTAGTAGTAGTAGTAGTAGTAGTAGTAGTAGTAGTGGTGGTGGTGCAGTGATGTAGTAGTAGCGATAGCAGTAGTGGTAGTAGTAGCAGTAGTAGTAGCAGTAGTAGTAGTAGTAGTATTAGCAGGTGATGTAGTAGTAGTAGGAGTTGAAGTAGTAGTAGCAGTTGAAGTTGTAGTAGTAGGAGTTGAAGTAGTAGTAGCAGTTGAAGTAGTAGTAGTAGCAGTTGAAGTAGTAGTAGTAGCAGTTGAAGTAGTAGTAGTAGCAGTTGAAGTAGTAGTAGTAGCAGTTGAAGTAGTAGTAACAGTTGAAGTAAGAGTAGTTGTAGTTGTCGTAGAAGTTGTGGTTGTAGTAATATTAGCAGGAGAAACAGTCGTGGTAGTAGCAGTAGTAGTGGTGGTGCAGTGGTGTAGTAGTAGCGATAGCAGTAGTGGTAGTAGTTGCAGGAGTAGTTTTAGTAGTAGCAGTAGTAGTAGTAGTAGTAGTTGTAGTATTAAGGTTAGGGTAGTGATGGTGTAGTGGTAGCGATGGTGTAGTGGTAGTCGTAGCGGTAGCAGTAGTAGTAGTAGTAGTAGTAGTAGTAGTAGTAGTAGTAGTAGTAGTATATGAAAGTTGTTTTTGTTGCAAAATATGGGCTCGATGTCATTTACTATTACCATGAATGAAAACTCAGTTAACAAAGTACTAGCTATTATACGTACAGGTGTTATCAGAAATGTTTGCCAGTATAATTCTATTGGCCCCAGATTCCAAGTCGTATAACGCAGCGGGTTCCATTTCTAGGTGTCAGTATCGTTAATGTCATGCTCAAATACCAATAACTACGTTTCCTATCCCTGACTCCGTCATTAGTTTCAGCAAACGTAAAGCAGCTGTGTGAGTGAGTGAGGGAGTGAGTGAGTATGGTTTTACTACGCTTTTAGCAATATTCCAGAAATATCACGACAGGGGACACCAGAAATGGGCTTCACACATTGTACCCATGTCGGGAATCGAACCCGGATCTTGGGCGAACGCTTTAACCACTAGACTACCATACCGCCCCGTAAAGCACCTGCAAACTAAAGTGCTCGAACATGCACAACCGGGGCCAGGTGGCGCAGATCAAGGTAACTATCAACCCATCCGAAAGGTGTTTTCGTGTACATATTCAAAATAAGCAATCATTAATTAATAATAAATAATAGTATCGTTTTCGATGAAAACAAACCAGTCATTTAAAAAACAAGAAATTGTTTTACATTATCAGCGGACGATAAATCTCACAGTTTTGCATTTATCGCTTGGATGATTTTACTCAAAATATCATGTTAATTGTTAATAGGCTACATATAGCTGTCCAAGGTTAAGTCCGGTCTGTCGGGGCGTGTCAGCGCAATTCGGAAGATAGTTCGGAAGAAAGTCGGAGACGTTAAATACTACATTGAAATTCACATGCAATGCCTGTGTTTGCCACAACAAGGTTGATAGTCGGATTGATACAGCTTATCGAAACCACAGTCACCGAGTACGGATAGGTCAGGGACATCAATCTCCACAGGGTTCTGCGCCCCGTTTCACAAAGCGATGGTAGCGCTACAACTGTCCTATACTTACAGCTCCAGGATTTGTTGTTTACCTTTCACAACTTTAATGTGCACTGTCTACGGTAATGTGTAAAGAGAGGATGTGCTACAAGACACATGCCATATGAATAAAGCGACTACGGTTGCACAAATGTTGCACGGAACTATCGCAACGTACGCATTGAGCGTAGAGTAGACTCTAAAAGGTACGCGTAGGGGAATTAGCCGCAATATTACGAAAAACAATAGATACAAAATTATTGTCATTGACCGCCCAAACATTCTGTCAACAACAAAAAATCCTACTAGAAAACCAAACTTAATGGTCTGTCTCTTAGTGAATGAAAATAAAAGCGAAAAAAGAACGTTTTCCATAATCATAAATAAAAAAAACGTTTATCCGACCAAACAGATTCCATTTGGCATAAAATGCAAACTAGAGGTAACAGTAATATGAATAGATCACTGAATATCATGTGTTCTGCTAACTTCCTGCTAAAAGAGTCCGTAGTACGATTCCGATTTTATCACAAGCATGTGTTTACGCATTCTTTTTTAATCAGAGGTTCATTATTTTTAATTTTATTTTCATTATTTTTATTTTATTTTATTTTATTTTATTTTATTTTTATTTTTATTATTATTATTATTATTATTATCATCATCATCATCAGTATCATTATTATTATTATTATTATTATTATTATTATTATTATTATTATTTGTAGTAGTAGTTTGAATCACTACTGTAACATACGACACAATGGAATATCCCTTCAGTACACCTCAGGTGTACAATATTTTTATTTGACGCAATACAATAAATATATTCCAGTTCACATTGTACAGCCCTGTGTTGTTGATTATTGTCGTCACTCAGCTCTAACACTGAAACCGTTTGTGAAATGGCCGCTTTAGTTTCTGCAATTTTAGGCATGCATTGTCACAGCTATCTTATCCTATAATTAGTTAACTGACATAGAAGATTGCAGACATATTAAATAGATCTATAGGACATACAGTGGTCCTCGAATTTGTTTCCATGTTTTTTTCCAGAGGACTGGTATAGATGACCTATAGTACAAGCGTCAACTTTGTATAGCACTGTATGTTATATAAAATACATATTGTGCCAACTTGTACATAAGGGAGAACACAACACATTACAATTTTTCCTTTAAAATATTTGTAAAACACACATCAAGGTGTGGCAATGGGAAATGTTTCAGAATCACGTCAGCACTCTTTATTATCTAAGTGCTTAATTGAAGAAAGGGCACAACCAGTCCGCAATGTTCGATTTTTCTGTTCATCTTTTCGATTTATTAATGCATGGCTTTGTTCATCTTCAACAGTCTGTAGACAATGTGATTGGTGTCACAAAGGCTGAAGTGATCGTGCATCGCGAATCTCATTTTCTTATGATTGTGTTTCACAGCGATATGAGCATACAACGACAACAATTTTATCATAGGATTTTAAACTCCATCCGAGTGAGTGTTATTTTCCACCGTCAGTGATATTTCAGAAGAAGCACAAAAGCATGTAGAGAATCTAATCTGCACAACATCAACCAGTGGGTATATGCACTACTCACAAGCTAAATCCCAATCATTCGGTTCTCACAGTGCAACCACAATATATGTTGCATATTGTGCTCTCGTATTAAACAAGGAGTGAAACATGGCTTAAAATTAGGTTTTGATAAAAACAGGAGTGGCAGTTTGTTAACGCGCAGCCAGAAGACAGAGAAATATTGAACAGAGACATTATGCTACTTTACAGTTGGAAAGGTATGTTACGGTATAACACATGATAAATGAACAAATATACCATATCTATGCTGTGTTTAGTGGTTCATTCTGTGATGCCTCGTAGTTTGTTATCATTCGTTTAATAGTTTTAATATTCTGACTTCAAATATATTTGTCTTTCCACTAGCAACATGTCCCTATCAGTTATGTCTAGTCATTACCACGACACTCCTCACTCACAAACATTAATCGTACTACCTTTGCCGTGTGTGGGTTCAACTTTAAGAATATAGAGATAAAGTCTTCCTTTAAAGTTTATCTCTGACAGATAGCGTGTATCCAGTCTTCCGTACACCGGCACGTGTTTATCAATGCCACACACTGCACAGAAAAGTTTGAAAAGTAAAATCCTTACCTGTTTTCGCTTTGTCATATGTTCGACGTTGAAGGGTGAACGTCAGATAAAAACAGGTATATGAGAACATGTGGTGTCCACTGTGACTGAGAAGGAAGTCACTGCCTGGCGGAGACTCATTAGTAGCCTAGTGTCCCCACGTCTCAGCGAGGGAGCTTGTACAACGCTGGATAGAGGGAGGGGCAGAACGCTAGATCCATTGCGAGGAGCGCAGTCTGGTCATCGATCGATACCCAATACAACGCACGGTGGAACAGAGAGCTGTAATTAGATAATAACAGGGGTGAGGGCTATATAGGCACGAGGCTGTTGGGGATTAGCTGGAAAAGGGTTCGAATCCCATGTAAGCGGTAGTGTGCCACAGACATAAGTTCAGGATTATATGAAAGGTAGAATCTATTGTGGTCACGTAGGTCACTGGCGTTAATCCCCTTGTCATTCTGCGTCTGTGAACAGGAAGATGGCGACAATTTCAAACTATGCCTGTGACGTGTAGCTTCAGATTTTCGGGACCGCCTCCGCGGTCTAGTGGTAGAGCGTCCACCCGGAGAGCGGAAGGTCCGGGGTTCGATCCCCGACCGCGTCATACCAAAAGGCGTTAAAGGATGGTACTTGTTGTTACCCTGTCTGGCGCTCGGCATTAAGGGGCTAAAACAAGGACTGGTCGGCTCGGAGTCATTATACTGTGTCTGAGTTGGGTATTCATGTTAAACTGCAGCATGGTATCTCAGTGAGCTAGCACTATAATTCGGTACAGTCCGGACTAGTACAAACAGCCACACACACACGTACATGCACGTCGCTATATAAGTGCAATAATTTTGGACGCGACGTTAAACCCCATTTCACCTCACCACCTCACCTCAGAATTTCGGGGTCGATCTGTGTTTTGGTATAGGTAAAGAAATAATGAGCCATTGTTTTCATACGTCAGTGGAGTAAATAATGTAAAACTGCTGGGTAACAGAAAGTTTATGCTTGAAAACAGTCACCCCATATTCCTGGAGACGTCATGAGCACGTCACCTGATGCGATATCCACATTGATTTGATGCATGTCATGTCGCCTACGATCAGTGATCACCTTCGGACCGCTTTTGTGATCTAGGGGTAGAGCGTCCGCCCGGAGAGCGGAAGGTCCGGGGTTCGATCCCCGGCCGCGTCATACCAAAACACGTTAAAATAATTAAAAGTTGCATTAAGGGGCTAAACAAGGACTGGTCGGCTCGTAGTCAGTATACTGTGTATTCATGTTAAACTGTTGCATGGTATCTCAGTGAGCTAGCACTCTAATCGGCATGAGTCCGGACTAGTACAAGCAGCCACACACACACACACACACACACACACACACACACACACACACACACACACGTGTCCCTATATACGTGCAATAATATTGGACGCGACGTTAATCCCCATTCACATCACCTTTGAATAACCATTTTATGTTTGTTTCACTTTTTGCCGCAAAAAAATGAGTTTACACTTTCTATCGCCCGACAGTTTATCTACTTTTGTATCAATATTGAAGAGTAACTTACGTTAGTAAATACAGATTTTTCGAGCCTCAAATATAACTCTTAGGCCATCAATATTAAACGGTCTGTCCCGAATGTATTCGATCGAGTTATGTAAGTTGGGTTTAACGATACTTTTTATAATAATTCAGTTATTCAAAATGCTGTCCACTGGAGAGAAACTCACACTGGCGCCGGTTTTAGTACGTGCATGGTGCTGACGGACTGAAGATGACAACCTAGTCACTGGATCCAAAACAACCTGCTGCTTCTTGTAAAATGTGACCAAATAAGATCAGGTGGGCAATTCCGGGGACTTTGTTGATTGCCTCAGGGTACCCCACAGGCAGCTTGGGTTGTATACTCCCCAGGGAGCTGAGAATGAAAATCGAGTGCTCACTGATCCATTTACCGAGGTAATGATAGTGTAGTGCTATGAGCATCCACTTGGTGAATGGAATCTGGCGCATATAAATGAAATCATTATTAATATTATTATTATTATAACATGAGCATGTGTTTATTAATCCCTATCAAAGAGGGACGATGTACAATTCCAACAATATCATGAGCATGTGTTTATGAATCACCTGATCCTCATCCAGCAAACACAATGATATTGATCAATGTCGGCCCCATGTCACGCATAACGTTAATCCAATATTCGAAGATGATATTGGTATAACATAATTGTTGCACAGCGTTTTTATGTTGGTACAATGTTGGCAACATGACATCAGGCCAACATTATACCAACATTGGGCCAATGTTTCCCAGTGAATTATTAGGGGTGGATTCAGGGTACACATGCGTTGTACGGGGTATTCTGTGTAGACACAGTGGTTGATGCTATTCATATTCGGGTTGTTATTGACTTTATTGCATGTTAGGGTGATATATACCTCTGCACGGGCATCATTACATCCAATAGGTATGTTTTGAATCACCATTTTCCAATCTCAGGTAAAACAGAAATTATATAAAAAACTAAATAACTGTACAAATAGATTCAATAAAGTGAGTATTTTTCTTCACTGGACGTATATCAACGCTGCAGACATTTCATCCAGCGCTGTAAAAACAAACATTACTGACTGCAGCTAAATCAAGAAAAGTTATTTTTCATCTATTTTTTCGTTATTATTTGCACGTTATCATACCACGTAAATTAGAGTGCAATGCTAATTAAAGTGCAGATCATATATCTGTGATACGTAAAAGACACAACATTTTCAGATTTTTGTTTAATTTTCTTCCTCGGAGTGGTATCATCTGTGTTTGCATGTTTTGATTTAATAGATGAAACTATATTCTATTAAATTCATGTACCCATTTATGTTTGATCTTTTTGGAATACCCTAACAGTAGCGTTAGTTGATATCGGACAATTAATGATTTAATCCCTGGCGATATGAAAAAACACATATTTTAAATGCTTTAAACTCAGGATTAATTGGGGAATATCTTTTGGGTGAAAAGTTGATTGCATAAATTGAATAAATACTTCCTATACATCCATTGGTGCATACTTTTCATGAACTTTGATTACATGTACAATGTACAACCAATCTGAGTTGTTGCCTCATAACTTAATATTCAACTGCAGGTATGGGCTGGGTAAATAGTACAGACTACTACAGGGGAGGCTGCTCTGTCTGTTGAATGCCTGCAGCTGCAACACAGAACAGCCAGTACTACACGAACATTATTTAAGAAAATGTTACTAAATCTTGGAATTGTCGTCTAGGTTGTGGCAATCACATATTGAAATCCAGTTAAGAAAGATTTGCATGTGGAATATATATCTAGATATTCAGCATGCTGTCTAAAAATAATTATTTTGCTGGTTGGCAGATCGGCAAGCCTAACTAAGTCAATTTGGGATGGTTTATATAGATGACATTAAATCAGTTAATTTGTAACTAATAATAGGTCTAACAATACCGGAACCTTTCTCTGAAGCCAGAGATCCGAACATATCCAGACAATTTTCTCAGAAATAATCCCTCAAGTCACTAAGAAGTGTCTGCCAAACACAAGCAAAGTTTGCCGCCAACAGGGTCGCAGTGAATATGCAGAAGTACAAAATAGTGAGGAATAAGTTATAAAATGTCATTTGGTTGTACAAAAGCCAACTAAAGAGCGTTGATGTAATTAATCAAACTAAGTTTTGATGGTTTGTAATTTATATAAGTATTATATATTAATATATATGTTTCAAGATTATTAAAGTTTACATAAACTACCGGGCAACAGAAAGTTTTCACTTTAAAAATAGTTTATAAAAAGCAAAAAAGATGGTACAGGTTTGAACCCCCGCAGAAAACATTCGCCCAAATACAACATGACCAAATCATGCATTGTTGAAAACGTGCAAAACGTGATTTTGAGACATTGGTCCAAATGCACGTGCGTGATTGTGGCATAAATACCGACGTTGGACAGAGCAGGCATTCAGTAAGCAAAAAACACCAAGAATATGCCCAGACTTAAACAAGCGCAACGAGACAGAGCGATCGGTATGGCCAACGCGGGGGCTACTCAACGTCAGATAGCCAGAACCTTCAACTGCTCCCAGACCATCACCAGCAAGTTGATAATCCGCTACCAACAGACAGGACAGACTCAAGACCGGACAAGATCGGGAAGACAGAGAGTGACAACACCGGCCGAAGACCGCTACATCCGGCAGATTCACCTCCGAAACAGATTTGTTACGGCGACGTCAACGGCGGCAACAGCACTAGGGCATGCCATCAGCAGACGAACAGTCCTTCGACGACTTCGTACGGCTGGTATACGAGCCTACCGACCTTTCCGTGGAATGGCCTTCACCCGTCTACACCGTCAACGCAGACTGCAATGGGCACGAACTGTACGTCGGTGGCAGCGACGTGACTGGACGAGAGACTCTTTGAAAGTCTGTTCAGGAACGATGGCAAAGTTCGAGTGTTTCGACGAAGGGGAGAGCGACTGGCGCCAAACTGCATTAGAGATTGAAGTTCACCCGTTTGGAGGTGGAGGCGTCATGGTATGGGGTGGCATTTGTGGCCAGATTACAACACGGCTGGTTATCACCCGAGGAAACCTGAATGCTCAGCGATACAGGGATGAAGTGTTGAGACCTGTTGTGGTGCCCTTTATTCAACATCAGCCAAGAGGATTAATTTTGCAACAAGACAACGTAAGGCCTCACACCGCCCGAATTGTTCAAGACTACCTGAACAACGTTAACGTCAACGTATTGCCCTGGCCACCTTGTTCTCCAGACATGAACCCCATTGAACATCTCTGGGATCATCTTGATCGTCAGCTGAGACAACATGTACCGCCTCCAGCGAACCGACAGGAACTTGAACAGACTCTGTTGAACTTATGGAACAGGATTCCTGTTGACGTTATCCGCCGACTGACGACGTCAATGAGGAGGCGTGTGTTGGCGTGCATGGATGCCCAGGGTGGTCACACTCGCTATTGATGACGTGTTACCTGACTACTGTGTCATTATGGACTCTTCATGCACTTTGTCAATGAACTCTGAATTGTGTAATTTTTAATTTGGCCTTGACTCTTTCTTTGTGTATTGCGGAGAATGCAATATCGGCATTACAATGCATTTTCATTCTAATTTTATGGAAATTGATTTCTGTTTATAAATTAATCATCA